GTGCATCGCGAGAGTCGGTCTTGCTTTACGGCGAGAACTGCCACACGGCCCCAGTGAAAGGCATGCTCGTTGCTAGCGCAGTGGCGATATTTGTGCAGTTATCATGGTTAGTAACATGCTAAATTTTCAAACTCGAAAATTGGAACAAAATAGTCACTTACCGCAGTAGACATGGTGATTCGTTGCGTTCGCCTGTCTGCTAAGCTCAAAACAACCGCGCCTGGCTTGACGGAGAAACCAGGAGAACAGCTGAGCATTTTTACGGCAGTGCAATTTCACTTTCACCCTCTGGGGGGAGCCTCGCTGGTTGCATAGTATACCTTTAAATAATACTACTTATATTTCAGCAATAGTATCTATGTGTTACTTTATTGTATGTCTCGTACCATGTCCGTTGGTTGTGCTGTTCTTTTTACACCTCTTTGCAGGTGATGAAGCAGACTGAAGATGTTTTATCGTTATCTCCATTTTATCTCCTCTTTCTCTAATCTTTTCTAATTTTTTCTGTTTTTCCTGTCCTGTTCTACCTACATTGCAATGTCCGTATAATCTGTAAAACTCCCTGCATAATTATAATAAAGCAATTTATATGCATAAATCAAACAGAACACTAAAGCGATAGCCGTACTGCTCCACTTATGAAAGTAAAATCTGTTGAGCTCTTTTTGTCAAGACAATTATTCTTATTGCCACATCACCAGACAGGACACTTTGAAGAAAAAATAGTGATTTCAGGATGATATTTAGAACCAATAGGTTTTAAACCTCATAAATGATGTATGGTTTGTGGCGTGCATGCATAATAGCTATTGTTATTTGCAATGTGGATCTCTGCAGCTCCTCCAGAGTTACCATGGGCTTTTAGGCTTCCTCTTGGGTTAATGCTCTCCTTGCCATCCTCTTACTGTGGGTAAAAGGCAAAGACTCAATGCAGTTTGTTTACTAATATTCTCTAACAAACCTTTGATGTTCTTCCCAGAACAGCTGAATTCATTCACTATGTTTTCTTCTTTCCATTTCCCCAAACTACCGTTTGTTGTTCTTTCACATAAAATTCATTAAAGTTTGTGGCTGTTTAAAGTCAAAGGCGTTTCAATACATTTGCATGACTCAGTTGTTTATTTGTTTTTTTTTTTCATGTTACATAGCCGACTTTAACAAGAGTGTTCTTTTTTTTTCGCAGGGCAGAAAATGAACCTGGGCGTAGCTTGAATGAAGCACAGAGACCTGCCATCTATGGACTGCTTTTTTTTTTTAAAGCTGTTATTTTCTACAGGAGTCCAAAACTAAAGCTTCAAACCAAAATGGACGTTTAAAGGGCTGAAGCAGTTCAGTATTAACCAAGACAGAACAGAAATAACCGCCTCCTCCACCTCAGATACTGCGGCAACCTTTTATGGATTAAAAAACAAGCGCAAAGAAGCTGTTACTAAATACTTTGTAAGACTGAAACCAAAACAGCTTCTGGAATGACTTTTTCAGAGTGAATTTTTTTATTTTTTTGCATGCAGGCAGGAAGTAATATACCCTTTACATCACCCTAGCCTTATGATCTCCAAGATAAAGAGCAGATCCTTTTCTTGGAAGGAAAAGTAATCTGTGGGCTGCAGACTGAGACGCAAACAAAAAGCATGTTTTGCTGACCAAAATAGAAGAGGAGAGGAAGAGAAGAGAAAAATCTGGGAAGGAGAACAACTGGAGAGTTTCACCGCCCTCTGCTCCACATCTTTGGTTGTTTTCTCAACGGGAATTCTTCCAAGGGACGTTGAATTTGACCCTCTGGGGGGTCCAATCAGACTGAGATAAACACTTCATGAAGGAATAAAGTCAGAGAAAAGTCTTTACGCCATTTCAGCCGCCTGCTTTGGGACAGAAAACATCTGCAAAAGGAGTCATGCCTGGAGGCAGGAACCTGAAGCACTGAAGTGTTTCTTAACGTTCTCAGGTTTTAAGGTGTTTAAACATTTTTGTTGACGAGCAGACTCACATTGAAGGATCAGGTTCTGATAGCGATGGAGAAAGCGCATACATCTATAAGGAGGGGAGAGAGCTGGAGTCCAGGAGGATTGAGAAAACCTAATGAGTCAAAGCAAGAAACACACCCCTCTGAGACTGACTACAACACATCCTGGGAGAAAACGGGATTCAGCAAACAGCACATGAGTCGGAAAACAAGTAAGTGGATATTTTATTTGCTGATCTGTGGTTTTATTTTAGATGCCAAATGATGCGCCAAAAAACTGACCGCAGAAAAAGAAAACCAGCCGAAGGATTTGTTAGGACTAGTGTGGCTTGGACTGACCTGAGAATAAAAAGACTTGGAGCTGACAACACTAGGAAGAAAAGGTCCAGACTTGTCAGAGCAACCCGACACAGCGAAGAGCTGCATGAAACATCTGCTCCTGGGAAACCAGAAATGGAAATGCAATCATAGACAGCATGTCTTATTATACATCTCGGAAGCTGACAATCACGGGCTTGGAGTTGTGGGAAAAGCTTCTGGGAACTGTACTTTCACATCCGTCTTCTTTTACTTCTCACTAACTCACAACAAACTCCCCAAAAATTTTTTTAAAGTTGACAGGCTATGACAACAACTGAGGAAAACACTGCAACATAACAAGAAAAAACAACTTCCTCTGGGCAGAGTGAGGCTCCCCGACACACCACTCAGACTGAGTAATTGGTCATTGTGCATTATTTTAGAAATGTCACTGCCATTTAAAAAACCACCTTATCTAGATCTATAGCCTGTGTGCTACCAACACCCTTCCAATCACTCATTATCCTATAATTGGCTTCCTCCAGGCCCTGAAAACACAAAGAAGCTGATAAAAAATCACTATTTCTTTGTTGAAATAGTCAAACATGAAGTAAAAAAAAAAAAAAAGAAGAGAAACAATATTTGGTTTTTGCCCCCTGGTGTTGGGATTTGATTCAACAGTATCTTGCAAAAGTATAATTTATTACTTTTTAACATGGGAGGGGGGGTCTTTGAACAGACGCTCCTTTAATCTCAAAGGGACTCAAAGAGTTTATGATAATAATAATTTAACTTTATTGATCTAACATTAGAAAAATTTAACTCTGTATTTAACCCATGCCCTTCGGGAGCAGTGGCCGCCAACCGGCAACAACCAAGGAACAAGCGGGGGGTAAAGGGCCTTCCCAAGGAACCAAAAGGGCAAGCCGGGGGAAGGGGGACCAAAACCAAAAACCCAAGAATCCAAACCCCAAGCCCCGAACAACAAGCCCCCAACCCCCACACACCAAAAAACCTAAAAGGAAAAACGCAAGGGAAGGGTAATAAGGGCCTTAAAAGGGAACAAACAGGCGCTCTGGTTCTGCCATATGTTATAGATACCCATAAACCAATAACAGTCCTTCATATTTCTTATTTTAAGTTTCTTTAAACAATAGAAAACTGCTTTAAAAAGCACTTCAACTGCAATAACCATGACTGTTATTCTTGTAATGGATGCATTTTAATTTAGTTCACAAATATTTGACTCTCTTGATGACTAACAGGTTTCAAAAGTGGACTCAAATTTCATAAATTCTCAAATATTTTAGCAGTTTATCATAGTATTATAGTGGCTAAAATGGCTGGATGGATGGCTGGATCAGACATGGTTAACTAGGTCAATAGGTAAACTTTATGTTGTGGCATAATAACCCTTTAAATGCAGCATTTCTATTTTTTTCTAATTATAATTCAATAGATGTACAGAGTCATTGTACAAGGCTTGTACAATGACTCTGATGTGATTTGAACAAGCAACCATCTAACCTGGAGTCAGATGCGCGACCGTTGCACTATTTATGCTATGAATAGAGAATGTTATTATCTGGATACATTAATAAAGATGATAATTTGCGTTTTTTATAATAATAATAATAATAATAATAAAAATAATAATAATAATAATACAGCTCCAGAAAACCTCACAAGACCCTGTTATTGCTCTGTTGCGATCGGTGCAGAGCAGCTTAATAATAGGCTCTCGGGTGGTGTGCTGCCTACTAGTGGCTGGAGGGTTAACGGTTTCACTGAAATGGATGTTCGATTATAAAATTATTTACTTTTAAAAGCCATATTTTGTATTGGTAAAAATCGCATGTATTGATTTGACAGAATTAACAGTTTTTACCAATTTAATCCATCACCCTGCATGGTGAGAAACACTCAGCATCAGTAATGTCTCACCTTTTCATTTGTTTTTAGAAATGTGGACGTGCTGGTGAAGATTCTTAGTCATCCAGGTCATAGTCATTCCAAAAATTTAAAAAAACCAAAAAAAACAATCCCCTGGACTTTGTTTCCATCCTGGATGGGAAGCGAAACTTGCAAGCAAAGTCCACTGGATTGTTTTTTTTACTCTTATAAGGAATGTGGACATATTATGAGACTCAGGCAAATTAAGACACCATGCGGGTCCCATTTGGTTGTAACGTTACTGAAACAAGAGTTTAATGCATCAAATGGATTTTAAAAGCTGTAATGGTTATCCATTATCTTTTGGTTATTTTTCAAAACATAATAAATATTTTTTAATGACAGATTTTGCTTTTTTTCTTTAAAGAAGAATCTCCAAATTCTACATCAAAACTGAATCAAGGGATTTATGACCCCTACCCACAAACAAAACATTAGTAAAGACCACATAATTTACGTCCAAACAACGTCTACATTTGGTAGAATGGTGAAAAGTGAGAAGCCGTAATTTATGGGTTTGCAACGTCGATCCAACAATGTCTATTATTGGACTAAAGTGGGACAAAATCAGACGGACCAACCCCAATTTTCAAACAAGACTATGACTTAGACTTAGTCTAAAAACCAACGTCTAAATGAGGTGTGGTGTTTGAGGAGTACTAATTACGTTATAGAGTCCTCTATAATAAATAGATATGTCATTTAACTATCCTCAAATGTTTTCTTTCTTCTGTGTGGACCATTGAAGTCATCAGGTAGGGAACTTCATTGGTTCTGATAGTGTATTCATCCATATCACCTCGATTGGAAAAAAAATGCAAAGCCATAAATAAAAAAATAAAACCAGAAATAAAACCAGAAGGAGCCCAGTTTAAAATTTGCCTCAATCCACGTAGGGGACACAACATGCATGTGGGAAAAAACAAAAAAAACAAAACTTAATTGACAGATGGAGCAAACCTAACACTATTACATTGATCAAGCTCGCTTGTCAAAGCCTGTTAAAGTCAAGCCGCTTGTCTTTGTCAGAGGCAGGAAGGCTGTAATCTGACTCCGCCAGATGGATTTGCTCCGCATATCCATCTGGAAACCTTCCGTAGAAGTAATTTTGGGAAGGGGCGAAAATACTGGTTAGCTGATTGGCCTATGTTGGTGATAGACGGTCCAAATAAACCAATCAGATCAACGAAGCATATGACGTAACAGAACGACTACGAAGAGGAGCCAATTGATAGATCAAACTCTTGCCGAAACCAGTCGGGAGAAGAGCAAAAACATCTTTTCCTCTGAGAAAAGCCTCCAGAGCAGTGTTTTGCTCTTCTTTCAGTGAAGAAATACTCTGTAATTCCGATAAAACTTGCTCGATAGCCACGCTAACGCTAGTTTCATCGGCTGAAGCCGCCATGTTCTTTAGACTGAACTGTCGCGCTTCTCGTTGCGTCACACCTCAACCCGACTCAAAGCCAACGCTGATTGGACGTTCGTTTGGTGAACGGCTCCAAATTTTCTTCAACGGAGAGTCTCCAGACTGATTAGTGAGTGAAACCTTGAAAGCTCACGAGATCAGGATGGTCTCACGAGGCTAGGAAGGCTGCCTATATTAGATCAGATGATACAGGACAGCTGTTTAAAGGCTGGGATGTTGGTTAAGCCTTCTAGAGGGAGGATGACTGTGATTATAAAGCCAGAGCTACAATGTTTGGTTAATTACTATTAATAGGCCAGTCAAGGTAAAGACATAAATAAAATATAAAATCTGTTGCAACATCTAAAATGATATACCTTCACAGATCCTCTCTGTTTCTTTGCGATAATGAATCATTAAAGAACGTTGATTGGTAGGTATGAAAATCTGGTAAAATGATTCACCAAAATAGGGGCATATGTCACCAGATCAGAGTTATGCACAGCAAAAACAATCTAGAAATAAGTAAAGATTTCTTAAATTAAGTGTATTTACCCTTAATTTGAGTAGGTAAGTAAGAGGAGCTGCCAATGTAATGAGTATTTTTACTCTTAAAATAAGATAATTAGATAAAATTCACTTGAAATAAGAAAATGCAATTGTTTTTTCCTTTTTTAAA